AGATGCAAAAAATATGGGACAAATCGCGTTCAAAACTGGACAATCCCATAAAATACAGGACAGGTGGCAACTCTAGGTTTCAAATTTTATTCAAGTCGGTTAGTTGAGGCCCGTTTTTAGCAGAGGCCGGGTAAGGCCGTGCATTACAGAGCCCCTGCAAATACTCTCCTTCACACAGCCAAGTGCTTGGTTAAGTTAAAACCGCAAATAAACATTCAGAGTCATGTGACCTGCATTAAAAAACAAGAGAACTTAGAGACCCTTTTTGGTTACAACCAACAGAATGTTCTACCCATTAGCCATATGCAAAAACAAACAGCTGAGGACGTCCCAAGTCCTAATTCCTCTTCAGATAAGGGCAGCCTTCACGGCAGTGCATGTGAATGAATACATACTTCATGCGATGTTATTCTGACGGCAATATCAGCACTAGCACACTCATGATAAATTTATGACTCATGATAATAAGTCACTCCCCTTTCCTGATAAGGAGAGATCACACAGTACATATTAATTAATCATACAGAAGCACACAGAAACAAAGTTTTGAACAAAGTCAAGGTTCACAATAGGTCTCCTGTGACCTGGCCCTCATCCAATCTCCCAGTACACCAAAGTAGGGGAACTGAGCAAACTGCAGGGGTGTTAGGGGTTTGGGTAAATTGATTGTGATGACATGGGGAGTTGGGGTGCACATGATGGGGGGCAGTTTAATACGCAGGAAACTGAGGACCACAACACAGCTTCCCCACATCCAAGTAAACGTCTGTAGTGCTGTCCCATGTTCCCAGAGAGGAGTCATCTTTCAAAAGGAAGGCTGGTGAGGACATGAGGTGGCAAAGGAAATTTGCTAGGCAGCTGTATACAGCAGAAAGGGAAAATTAACAAAAAAAGAAGATGGCATTCATCTGAAATTAACTTAAAATCTTAAAAAAGTTTATTCCAGCTCAAAAGCAAATGATATTAATGGGGGCACAGAGAAGATCTTTTTTTTGTGACACAGAACATCAAATCTACTGTCTTTTAGGCAAATTGTTTTAAATTAGATTTTTCATGGACTCAGTCCATTTGAAGAAAGACAAGGATTAAGGATTTCTGTCATTATGCAGGTGTGCCACACCAGTTTGGTGAAATGAGACAGTGAATTGGCTTTCCCTTAATGGTAACAGAACACACCTATGTAAAGAAATGTAAGTAAGTGGAGACTTACAAATGTAAGTTATACAAAATGTAAAATGTAATACTGGCATTTGAGATTCAAGAAAGTCAGGGATGTGACGCTTGGAACAAATGACATAATGCAAAGTGAAATGTGTATAAGTTATGGTCGCAGTAAAGGGCAGGACAAGGCGAGGTACACGACACAAAAAACTGGACAACAGAGTGATAAGGTTTGTACAAACAATAGTATACACACCTACGCCTAAACACAAGGTGGTAGGGAATGCTCAAGTCAAAGTTAACTGGAATTAAATTTTCCCAATGAGAGACCAGTTACAATCCCACTCCCCCGTCTCAGTACTGACATGCAAAACCCACTCTCACGATTAGTATCTTTACGACCAAACTCGCTCCTAAAGCAGACATATCAAGTAGTATCACTTGGGGCATCAATAATATATTTTACGAATGACTAAGGTCGCATGTTTAAGGGGAAAACAGTAACCTCGGTAACTCGTTACTGCTCTCGAACAACAGGTTCCTCCCTGAATGAGACAGTAAATAAAAGATTCCAGACATACACAGAAAAAAGTAAACAGCACATGTCCAGCACTTACCAAGTCCGTAGTTACCGGCGTTTTCCTTGAAGTAAAAGTAGGTTGTAAAGAAGCCGATTGACAGCAAGGAGGTAAATATGAGGTACTTCGCATTGCGACGCAGTTTCTTGAGAGGGAAGAAAAAGTGCAGCATTTTGGCGAAGACCGCCGACAGACTTATGAGATTCATGTGTTGCCAGTTGGACTGAGCGGTAGCAGCAGAGACGTCCGAGCTCATGGCGAGCGGAGCTATTCATCGCGCATTCCGCCCAATTTGCGGCTTGAGGCACCGAACGACACCGAGTGGCCCCGGCTCCAGCTCCCAGACGAGATACGATTTGAAACGAAATTCGGACTGGCTTTTCCTAAAAACACAGGACAGTACTGGCGTGTCGGCAACAGGCGAACCGGTTTTAGGTGACTCCTCCTTCTTGCCATAGTCAACAGTTACAAAGAGCCGGGGCGGGGCTAAAAAAGAGGCCACACCTTCGAGGGCGTGTCCGACACGATGCTGACGGACAGGTAAGATGCACCGCGCCGTGAACAATGCGAAAGGACCTCTAGCTGTTTGTCATATTGGATAACACTCCAAAGTCGGAAGGAAAAGAAATAAAATTACAGAAAGCAAACTAGCGAGATGTGTGATGCATTTTTGATTTTCATGTGGAAGGTGCAAAACAAAAGTTATTTGTTATATTTTTATCACGGTAAATATGGTTGATCCGTTGACATTTTGCTTAAAAAAAGTTTATTCCAGCTCACAGGCAAATTATATTAGTGGGAAAAGACAAAAAGAAGATATTCTTTAGTGTCACAGAATGCCAAATCTATTGTTTTTTAGATAGTCATTTTGCTTTGACACCTGTTGTGGATGCCAGCCCACGACTTCATGCGTAATTCAGTGGAAATTTATTTTAAACTGTTATTTAGGCCAGTGTACAACCATTCCGCGCAATATTATGAATCAGCGCAGTGCTGTAATAGATGGCAGGTCATCGCAGCAGAGGCGAATAAGGAGGCTTGTTAGCAGAGGAGAATGAGATTTTTATTACAGTCCTGAACAGGTCTAACACAGGAACTGTACATGTAACAAATACACACAAGGGGCTATTTGCTATGGCCCGCGATCGGCATGCTGTGATATGCAAATCCCGCCGGCGGTACAATATTGTCGTTGGATTCCCCCAAATCGAAGAAGCAAACAGTAGATGCCCTGATGGATTATCACATTGTAAGACACCTCAGTACTCCGGTCACCTGGCTGGTCTTTACAACCTATATGGGAAATAATGGATGGACTGTGCTTGATAGCAGCAGCCTATTGGATTATGTGTCAGAGAGAAGGAACGGATGGCATTTCCTCACTTTCTCTTCCTCCCTCTCCTAAATGCCTGACTTTTAAGTGCAGGTACAAGGTCAATATATTACCTTAGCAAATTTGTGGCATTTAAAAAAATGAGCTCAGGTAACCAATTTCAAATATTCTCATTTTGCTTTGACACCTGTTCTGGATGCCAGCCCACCACTTCAGGCATAATTGAGCGGAAATTTATTTTATATTATTTGGACCAGAGTACAAGTTCACAAAAGCAATGTGGATGTGTATTTGACTTAATTACAAATTGTGTGGTTGTCTGGTTTTCATGGGTGTGTGCAACATCATAAAGAGAGAACAACAAAGGGAATAGGAAAGACAAAGAAATGAAAGAAAGTCAGATGACAAGAGAAGAGAGGAACCAAAAACTCCCAAGTAGGGAGAAAAAAATCCCTCTGGGGGTCCAAGGTCAACTGGCTGCACAACCCCCCCCCCCCCCCCCCCGGACACTAACATTACAGGGCTTGCTTGCTAAAATGTGCAGACTGACTAAATCAAGCTAATATTTATCAATGAGTCGATTTTCTACGCTGGTCTGTGCAGTGTGCAGATTGAAGTCTGCACCCATGATGTTACAGTTCCTAAGTCACATCCATGATGTCACCCTTCCATGGGACTGAACCAGCACTCCAGCTCAGATGGTGCCACCTCAGGCACCATAGTGGGAAGGAAGGCAGAGAGCATGGGGGGTCAGAATATACATAGACACATTAATGGACAAGCATATTGGATAAAAATGGCTTGTACAGCAGCACCAGCAGTCATAGTTATGGTGTGTTATGTATTAAGTTGTGGGTCAGCTAATCTGAAGTAATAGGTCTTCAGTCGAGAAAATAAAGACTGATTCAGCATCTTGAACATAGGCTGGCAAACTATTCCACAATAAAGGGGCCCTGTAGTGTTTTACTGTCACTTATATGCGTGGAACAAGGAAACCTGCGTTCTGTGATCTGAGCGGAGGCTTGTAACATTGAAGTAGTTCTGTGAGGTAGGTTCCTTATAGGAGAACTGTGAAATCAGTCCTGAACCTAACAGGAAGCCAATGCAAGGAACTAAAAACAGGGGTTATGTTTTCAAACGTCCTGCTCCTGGTGACAATTTGAGCTGCTACATTTGGAATACTCTGGACACGATGCCAGTACATTGCAGGGGACTGCACTCACCCAGTTATACACTCTGGGCAATATAGAGACACAGCACATCTAACAACAGATCTTTGGAATGCGAGCGAACACGCTGGACAGGATGAACAGGAAACTTGAAAGAGGAGGCAAGATCCAAAGCCTGCTGAGCTGAGCCACTCCGCTCTCTTTCTAGCATATTTCTTGTGTTCATGCATTAACGGCCTCTATCTTTTTTTTGTCCTTCCATTGGCAGGCATCCTTCACAAGGCAGAAGTTTACTGATCAAGCATTTATAATTTAATAGATCACAGAAAGTACATGCTGAATGGAATACAGAGAAAAGATCCGGAGATGGGCAAAGCAATTAAGTACATCCCTGCATTTTAACACAATAAAGACTAACAATCATAAAAATATACTCGATAAACATTATCACACTCATTAAAGGTTAAGTCTAAAAGACTTTTCTAGAAATGGATGTCTACCCTTTAAAAAGTAAAAAGGATTCTTTCTTAGGATTAAATCATTTCCTCTTCAGTATTCAGTGCATTTCAAGTATTTAAAACATTCATGAACTACAGACTAATGTTTGCACCACATATCCATCATCCACACATTACCCAGCATGCCATTGAAAACTGGGTCCATGGTTCTTGTTCACTGGAACTACTAGTCATCCAAAGGACTCCAGTCGATTAATGGGTCCTGAACCAAGAATTCCCAAGAACTCAAAGGTCAACACCTTCCACTGCTGAAGGAAAATTTCACAAAACAAGACCCTGAGTAAAGTTGAGATTGTGATTTATTGCCATCACTGGAGCTGCAAGGAATTCAGTCATATTACAATGAGACTTTCATAAGTAGTAGCTGGAGGGGAAGCCAGCCAGAGTGTAGATCAGAATAGCATTCTTCCAAGTCCAGCAACTGCTCATTCATAGCTGACCCAACACCCATTCTGAACAGAACACATACTACTGCCGCCCAGACTATTTCTTCCGACAGATGCTAATAAACAGCCTAACATTGGGTTTTTTGTGAGTTGTATGGTGTCTTCCAGTTTAAATATTCATCTTAAAATGAACATAAACTTGCACAATAACACAGAAATTACACACAATAAAATTAAATCTTTACACCCCAAACACGGCTCCTAGGATATACAGTTTATTTGCTTAAGGTCTCACAATGAATACAAACCAATCAGCGCAATATTGTAAATGTCATTAACAGTATATTGTCGGTAGCTTCCCAATAACCAAACAAACAGACGAACAGTAGATGCTCTGAACCATTATCATACTGCAAGACACCTCAGTTATCTGGCTTCCGGTCCATGAACCTGGGTCATGTCTGACTAACGGGTAGGAGATCGTGGGTCTTTATAACCTATATGGGAAACAATGGAATAGCCCTTGGGGAGTTGGAGCAGGATGCATTGTACACAGAACAGAACACTAACCAAAGAGAAAGTAAGGTCAGCAGGCCACACAAGCTCTTGATGCCATCCCTTTCCATAAAGAACGTGAGAGGAGCAATGATTTCTGACCATGAATGCAAGCGTTCAGAACACCTCTTAACCGACTGTGAAAGATCTTCATTTAAAATGTCCTCCACCCATTCAGGCATTCAGACACGACTGAAGTAGGTTACAGCAGATAAGCTGGCTGCTATAGTTCCAGAGCTTCTATTCTACAGCCAATGGCATTTGCATGAAAGAATTTAATACCCAGCAAAGCCAACACAGACAAACAAGGGGAGGCCATACAGTAAATTGTTTACGTTGACGAGTAGCTCTCCAGCAAAGACCTGAATTTCCATTCCTTATGGGCTGAGGCCTGAAACAGTAACCTCCCCCCCCCCACCCCCCCATGCCGTCACGCTTACAAAAAAAATCTGCACACCATTTGATAAGTTACAAAAAAAGTCAAGTCAAAAAAGTGAAAACAAAACAAGTGAGGAAGGGGGGGAAATTAAGCTGCCGTTTGCTCCTGAGCTCCGTTTTCCTCAATGTCCATCCCCTCGCCATTCTCCTGTCGCTGTTCCTTGTGCTCCTTCACTTTCTCTGCTTCTTTCTGTGAATTAGAAACAAGATGTTGCTACAGCTCAATAGCGCACGTTTCTCCAGGCAGCTCTTAAATAAGTCATGTTTTTAAATCAGATCTGCCATCTACTGGCAGAAGACAGTATTACAATCTATACGTATACGATCCCAGCTAATTTAGCAGATTTATGTGGTTTATTTAGTAGAGGCTAGAAGATGCTAGGTTAACAATTAGCAATAAGCGAACTAGTTTCATATTTCTGTTCCTACTGGAAAGTTGAAAACATGGCCAGAAAGTTAAATTCCTCATGCGTGTTAGAATTAGCTTCCTAGGTCAGTCTAGGTGAGATCTTCCAAGCCTGAGAGGACAGGAGGGGGGGAGACGTGGACAAACTGAGGGTCACTACTGGTCATTCACCTTGGCATCTCTCTCAGCAAATTTCTGGAACATATTGGCATAGAGGCGCTTGTCCTTCTCATGCTGCTCTTTCAACTGCCGCTGGCAGATTGCCACCTGGGTCTTGGCAGCTTTGTTGTTGGGGTACAGCTGCAGCACTTTCTGGAAGTCGTCCCGGGCCTGCTCAAACTCCTTCATGGCGCAGAGGGCCTCACCTCGCCGGAAGAGGGCCTTCTCATTACTCTGGTCTAGCTCCAGAGCCTGCAAAAGGGACAGGGACCGTGACACGAGTGATCCTGTGGCCCAGCACCTTACAGCCATGCTCTCACTGTCCTCCAGCAACACAATTCAAGTAGCCCCCCCCTCATCTATTAAAATTTAAATACAAGACATGATCATTACAAGTAGTCAACTGAAATCAGCAACTCTGTTTATACAGTAGTTTCCAAGCTTGATATTCAGGCCAATCATTTTAATGCCCCAAGTACCATCACTGAAAACAGAAGTTTCTCAGGATTAAAGTCTCCACCAGGCTACAAGCTGGTGAAATGCACAGATCTAACTGCAGTACCTTGTTGCAGTTTTCCAGAGCCTGGCTCTCCTCCTGGAGCTTCAGGTAGCACATGGCCAGGTTCAGGTGGGCTGCCAGCCTCAGCGTTCGGGCCTTCTGCTCGTCCCCCTCTGACAGGCCCGACTCGTGTTCCAGCCAGGACACAATCTTCTTATACTGACCGGTAGCCTGCTTGAACTTCCCTTCCTGCGATGCGAAACCGCCACGCTCGGTTAGTCTGGCCCTAATAGCAACCATTACTGTGGCAGCCAAAGGAGAAGGACGCGGACTCCCTCTTCCAAGCCGCCTGGTTGTAAATCATTTCAAAAGAGCCCTCCAAAGAGAAACACTTCATTCTCCCCACAGCATGACTTGCCTTCCCCACCAACTTTTGCCAAAAGGTTACACCCAAGCAGCTTGAGGGAAAACACTGCATTACTGACTCATCCTCTTCTGCCACAACTACCAGCTTTTTCCAGTGAAGAGGACTGAACCAACTATAAGCACAACTGTCAAGTTGAAATGACAAGAAGAACCATTGGTACACCTACCTTAAAATACTGAGTTCCTTTCTCCTTAACAATGGCACCCTGTTCCAGTTTCTCTGATGTATTCATTTCCCATGATTCCTTAGCCTAAAGAGAAAAAAATCATTAAAAAAAAAAAAACACCATCGAAAAGCCAATCCCACATGCACCAAGTCCTTCATACAATGGAAGCAACTGCTTTACCTTCTCAAAGGCTTTCAGTTTTATTTTGTACTTCAAGGTAGCACCAGGTGGGATGTTGAACTTGGTGCTTCCAGCACTTCCGTATCCATACCTGGAATGAAGTGCAGACTATGCTGATGTACTGCAGCTCCACAAAAAGCGTACTTCATTGGCTTACAGAGCCAAATAGAAAGGTCTTACTTTGCTGTGATTGTGAAGGTAGACTCCTCTCCCTGCTCCATGGCTGTGATGGCCTTCTCCACACCGGCAGGAAGGTCCAGGCTCTCGCAGTCCCCAATCTCAAACTTCAGATCCCTCTGGTCAAACACTCGCTCCTCGAAGATGCCCTCCACAGCCACTGAGAATTAGAGAGTCACCAGTCACTTTTGGTACAGTCACACAAACATTTCAAAACATCCCAACAACGTTACACCCAGATTACTTCCCTCTCTCCCTTCAACCAACTATCATGATTGCTAGACATACATTAGGCTCCTTAAAGACAACAGACTGAAAATCAGTGGAATCATCAGGACCACATGCTATTCCAAAATTTGTTACTTACGACAGCCCTAATTATTTAATTCATGCAAAGCTATTAATCAGCCGAGTAAGATTAGGGACAGTGAAGCAGCAGACCTTCCACAGTAGCCCCCTCATTGGGCTTGGAGTAACCTTCCCCCTTTGTTATGGTGCGCCGGATAATGCCACCATCCTCATCATCAGTGATGTCCTCCCCGCGGAACTCAAACAGCTCCACCTAGATACACGGAGGCAAACACACCGGCACGCATGTCTGAAAATACTACGCAAGATATGAACATCTATTGAAACCTTTGCCCGCAAATTTCAACGCACCAGCTCATTAGAGTTATGCTAGTAGGGGGAAAATTATAAATTGCAGGAATAATAATAAAAAAAAAAAACCTTTTTTTAAAAAAGCATTCCAAAACATTTTAATCAATGTTAAACTGCTTAACCATTAATATGAATTAATTGTACCACTTTACCATATGGCTCCCTTTTGCCACTTGTAAATGGTAATAACATTAATAAAAAGAAAACTGCGTTATAACTTGTTTAAAATGGTCTATTAATAATTTACAAAGTGTTGCAGAGATTATAAACCATTCATAAACTCTTTATATGGGTAGCATTGTTGTGAAGTGACACCGAATTAATGAAATTAGTTTAAATGCCGCACATAGCTACACAACATAATGGCAAATCTGAAGGAAGAACAGATATTTAGAAACACACACACCAGGAGTGGGCAGTTGCAATAAATTAATCAACTGCTCTCATATTGGGGATAGTGAAATGTGCAAAATGCTTCAGTGAAAGAATATAAAACATGTTAGGAAAAGTGCAAAATAACATTCATATCATTGCTATGGAGAAGTCTTCATGAAAAAATGTAAAATTCAATCTGTTGCACATCTATCAAACCAAAAGAATCTAAGAGGGCCCCAACAAGTCTGATGCACCTGATCAATCAATAGATGAATCTCAATCCAAGTCCAAAGCTCATTTTTTATTGGGGGAAAATTGAGGCCATCGATGTTTGACACCCACTATAACAAAAAACTGACAAAGTAATGACATCAGCTCTCAAAGCCCAGAGTCTCTGTTGTACCCATTCATTTCCAACACCCCCTCCCCCCCCACCCAAACGTCCAATCATTAGCAAGCATCCTCTTCACTGGTGAAAAGGGCAATGAGTGCAGGCAGGGGGCTGCTACTACTACTGCTGCTGCTGCTGCTGCTACATGCTCCAGCCAGAAATCAATGTCCTCAGAATGGCACTTTGCAGCTTCTTGCCTGATACTTCATGGACTGCATTTGGACTGGACACCCATTCAGCCTGGTGTTTTAAGGATGTACTCACACTAGGCGATCCGTACTGTGCCCGAGCATGTCTGACCTCCAAAGTCCAGTTCGTTTGACTAGTGCATGATAGCTCCTTAGCGCGTGCTAGTGTGATCGCTAACCGTGTCCAGGAACTGCACACATACATGACATAAAACATGACACTGGCACATACATGTGCACATGTACACTAAACATGAACTGGACCCAGAAGGAATATAAGGAGTAGGTTGTACAGATAGCAAAAACTGGAAAAGATTTGCAAAACTGTGTCACAAAAAAAAGACACGTACAGATCGGGTAGCAAGAAACATTTCACAAAGATGGCGGCAAATGATCACTTTGGTGTACAGCAGAGGTATGGTGTCTGCTTGAAATTTGTGATAACAAGTGTCCAGGACCACATGGATACAAACACACAAAAACTGAGATATTTCATGAATTATGGGACTTTCTTTTCATATATGCAGCACCAATAAAAATCTTGGCATTACATACTAGATTAATCTGTGTGTGTCATCGTGCCCAAAACGACTCCAAATAAGCCACCAAATAAGGACATTAATCGTGAATTCCATTTTGCTGTGCAATAGAACTTCCCTTCCTATGTTCTTTTCAACACAGAAAAATTGCACGGAGATAATGAAAGCGTGCTTCAGTCCAAATCGTTTAACGCGACGTGAGCACAGATCAGTGGGGGAGTGGGGAAAGGGGGCAGTCGCATTCGGGCACAGTGCAAGACAACCGGGCTAAGCGTGAGTACGCCCTAAATGACCACATAAACCTCTTGGTTCTGCTGCAGTCAGTAGCACATAATCCACTTATTCTGGCCCACATTAATTGCCAACCCATTTTGTTAGCTGGACAAATAAAGTCTTTTAAAGAGGGACAACGGCCCCAACTTTTGTGTTTTGACATGCATCCACTGTTTTGTTTAAGAAACAAACAACTTAAGCATCAAAAGTAACATCCATAATTATAACAAAACACATTGCTTAAAATGCATTGCTTGTCACCAGTCTTTACCTCAAAAACCAAGGTGGCATTGGGTGGGATCTTTGGAGGGCTGCCAGCTGAACCGTAGGCATACTCAGGCTTACAGATAAACTGGGAAACTTCTCCCACCTTCATGGTGCCTACTCCCAGATCCCATGCTTTAATAACTTGACCTGTGCAGAGAAAGAATTTTCGTGGACAAGTACAAGTCAAAGCATTAAACTAATCTCCGCACATAATGTTGTAATAATTGTCTATACTTTAAATTCCCTCTATGCCAGTTCCTAAAAGTATATTCAAACTAATAATATACTACTTACCATTTCAAATACAATTTCATCATGCCAGATACTGCCTAAGACACAGAATAGGGGGATCCACAAATGTTCTACAAAGTTTGCCACAATCTTGACTTAATGGAGCTATCCTTACTGAAAAGGCGTGAGCAGATAGCAAAGATCTCTGAAGAGATGAGGGCACTTGTAAACGTTCTAGTCAGAATGGCACTCCAGAGACATGTACAAATTTCCAAACACCACCCAAAAACCATATAAAAACACTGCAAGAGACCTGCAAGGGAGCCAACATACCTTTCCCAAGCTCAAATGAGAACTTGTCCCCCCGGTCACGACTGGAGTCAAACTTTGTGCCATCCAGCAAGGTGCCAACATAGTGCACAAAGACTTTATCTCCAGTCATAGGCTGCTCAGTGCATGCTCCTTCCTTTTTCACCAGCTGTAAGTATTAAAAAAGAAAAAGACTTGTCTTTCAGTTACATGTGAAACAATATGCATCAGTTAAACAATACTGTATACCCCTTTACATAGCTGAATGTTCTACTGGAGCAACTCATCTTATGTACTTTCCTTCAGTGAGAGCAGCAGCCTTTGCGTTACCAATTCATATTATTAACAAAAAGCCAATTGCCACCCCACCATTAAAAACGAGATAAAATAAAATCATCTTTAAGGGCAACACACAGAGGTAGTAACGTTACATTTCTAATAGCTCCGATTATACATAGATCAACGCATTTAAAGTTTCAGAAAATGTGTAAGCTACACAAATAGCATTCATTGAATGAACATCTGAGACAGCGTAATGCGTTTCACAGGGATAACTGAAACACATTGTTAACTAAGTTAATGACATACGCTGGATGTTCCTTTAATAAATTTTAGGTTTATAATAAATGGGGACAAAAGTAAAAAAATGTTATGTAGGTGCCGGTGCACTCATTTTGAGCTCTGTTGCTTTCTTCAAGAACCACTTGAGCATGGCTGCTCAACCTTCACAAGAATGTTCCACGATGTTCTGTAAAGGGTGGGGCGGCGCTAGGACCCAACGGCATCCGAGCCGCAGACTAGGCAGTATACAGGAAGCAATCGTTCGGCGAGGTGTGTAGAAAAATAATTATTGTATTTTAAAGGACACAGAGAATGACTCAGTCTCGTTTCCTTTAGGCGAGTACTTTGTGTATTAGGAAAAGTTTAACGGCATCCGTCTAGAAACCGTGACCTTACCCACTATGTTAGTTACATAGAATGTTAAATGCATACTGTGCCTAATGCTTGCATACTAAAATAATAATGCGGGATTTACTGACACGCATCGAGCTAATGTGCCCGCCCAAAATATTAGATCGTGTAATTTCCATGCAGACTGGACCCCCTCCCCCCTATTCACAATTCCATTCACTGGTATGGCCTAGGGTAGGTGCTGCTTTGTACCGATATAAACAGCAGCTGCCCACGCACTCACGTCGTGCAGGCCCACACCACGACACGTGCTTTAAAGCGGGCGTTTGGAGGGGGACCCGCTCAGCACCACGGTAACCCTTACAAACACACAGCTAGGTGTCCGTGACAACGATACGAGCAACGACTTCACAGGAGAAACCGATGCATTCAAAAGACTACTAAGCTGCACGAGTTAAAAAAGGCGCACGTCAGTATCTCTCACTGTAGGATCGACTGTCATCAGCTGCCCATTACTACGTCTAAAATCGTTACCGACTTTTGCTAACGTTAGAGTCACATCTAGGCAGACCACAGCCAACTGGCTGAAATCTCCTCCCCGACTTAACGTGATATGTCCCAACTAAGAACAGAAAATGTGGTTAAACGTCCATAAGCATCGGTCCCCATGCAAATACCTTCAAGACCCCTCCATCTTGCTTGGCTGTGATGTCGACTCCTTCCATTTGGATCGCATGTCCCTCGGTGTTGCTCATTTCTTCTTCGGCAGTCATATCGGTCTTGCAACCGTCCAGCTACCTTGAATTTCTAGACTGTTCTGGCGGTCCGCAGCTATGGGATGTAGCAGTGCTCAGAGCGCCTGGCCGATAGCAGAAATGACCGAGCTTTACAACAAGTAATTTAAAAAAATTAGATTCTAGCTCCTTGGTTAAATACGACTGAACGAATGGGCCGGCCGCACTGTAAGCTGAAGTCTAGTCGGCAACGAAATATCAATTTGGAGCAGGCCACTTATTTCAAACGCGACCAGAGGCAGGGACGTTTGTTTTTGCGACGGCCAAAGACACCCAGCCGTGATGCGATGAAAGGATATAGATCTGAATTCAGATCTACTGTGCGCCTTCCAGCCCGCTATCAGACCGTCACCGACGCAGGCGATTTAAAGCACTGGCTTTCCGCAGGAGGAAGGGCATAGAACTTTCCAGAGAAAGCGGCAAGGAGGGTGTGCTTGGTTTTAACTGGAGCTTAGGGTTTAGGCACCGTCGTCAAAGTACTGCGCAGACAGCAAACGAGAAATGCTGACCAACCACCAGTAAAAAGATAATATATAATATCAATTAGAAACGAAAAACTACTAGATGATAAAGAAACAATGAATATAATAATTTTAAAAAATCATTAAAATGTCAATGTATTACTTGTGCATTGCGTATATGGTAATACTATATAGAGAGTTAAGAAACTGGTATTTGCTTTTCTTTACGTGTAAAGATGACCGGCTATGGAAAAAAAAAAAACCTAGTGTGGTTTCTTTTAAAAAGGCAACCACCATCCATGTTTTTGTGGGGAAAACACTTTATAACCTGTATCTTTACATACTTTATATCCAGAAATTTTCAATTTTGCGGCTGGGTTGAAACTTGCTGTTTGTCCTACACTGCCGCGTTCTGTCTGCCTAGTGATTGGCTGAAGGGCGCTGACGTAATTGGCGCGCTCTTCGGAAGGAAAATGAAGAAATGACCGTTGTTTGAGGATTTTTGCTGCGAGCTAGCTATATAAATTAATTATCATTTATAGGTAAAGTATAAAGCATTGCAGTCCATCAGGGCATTCACATTTTTGGTAATTATGTTTTGGTACAATGGTAAAGGCTACATCATTTTGCTAGGAAGCATAGTACTGTGTGATTAACGACAGGGTTATATGCTAGTTGTCATTTGACGTTTTCAGATTTTGTGTGTAATATTGTTGTAAAGCGCAGTGGTGCTGTTTTCCTCCGTGCTCGTTCATGTCCTGATGGTATGTGGCGAATGACAGGAGCTGCAGGGACATGACCGATCGAGTCCTCTCTCTTCAGTTTCATGCAGGCATGGAAACCACAACTCTTCAGTTCCCATTTCCGTACGAGCCGTATTCTATTCAGAAGCAGTTTATGGAGGCTTTGTACACCACCATCGATGAAGGGAAGATTGGGATTTTTGAGAGCCCTACTGGGACAGTGAGTTTAATTACTTTCATTACTATATGTTATACAGAGAAAGATTGCTTTACTGGATTGCAGAATGTAATTGATTGATGCAATGGGGTTTCATACTTTATGCTTACAAGACATGATGGGAAATATTATGTTACTGTGCTAAGGTTTGTCATGTCCTCAACTGACATTCAGATTTTTATTATATATATATTTTCTCCTAAATCTAGTTTGCATGGTTCACAGCTAAAATGGCTGGTATGGTTTTTGCTGGATTTTAGGGCAAGTCTCTGAGCCTGATCTGCGGAGCCCTCACCTGGCTGCGTGACCACGAGGAGAAGAAGAAGCAAGAGGCAGTGGGCCTTCTGGAGGAGAGAGACGTCACCATGGACAGCTCCTCCACCCAGCCCCCGCAGGGGCACTGTTCCTCCCCGGCCCTCTCATCCTCTACAGAGCCTAACTGGATCGCGGACTTTGTTCAGAAGAAGGCAGAACGAGAGCTGGTGGACAAACTGAAGGTAGTGCAGAATGAAAGTAAACAGTGGGTGTTGAGGGGGGAGGGGGGATTCACAGCATTCTTGGCTGGTGAAACCACGAGCCCCTGCTATTCTGGGGCTGCTCCCGATTGGCCAGTCAATTATCCCCATCTTAAGCACGGGATAAACCCTGAGTTCATTTGAGGCCATCTGGCTAATAGAGGCAGATATATGCTCTGTGACCTTCTTGTGAATGTCCATCTGGCTTCGTGCATGCAGTGCCAAGGGATTTCCAGTGCAGTGCAGCCTATTTTGGTGTGAGGCTACGTTATGAAGCAGGAGCTTAGCGCCATTCATCCCTTTTCACTTTCTGTTTTCTGTCCAGGAGGAGGCGATCAGGAAGAGGAAGAGGGAGGAGAGGATGGAGCTGATCAGACACAATGTGCAGCTTCAGTATGCACTGAAGCACAAGGTAGCTAAATCACACGTGCATGTTCCACAGAGCAGAGCTGAGAGGTCCTGATAAAATATATATTTGCATTTCACATGACTGGATTTTGGTTTAGGGTGTGGAATTGATACCTTATTCTTCCAGGGTGTTCTTCCTGTGCTGCACTGGTTTCCTTTGGGTACTTCAGTGTGCACCCCCAGACCAAAGGCATACAGTTAGACTATTTGGTGTCTGTACATGGCCTCCTGTAGTGTATGAATGTGCGTAAGTGGGAGCAGGTATGTGCCTGGGAATGGACTGGCATCCAGTCTACAGCTTCCACCCATGATAAGCAGTTAAAAAATGGATTTATTATCAGCTCTAAGATGACAAACCTTTCGGTTACTGTTTAATTTGCAGGAGCTGCATCTACAGTTTCTTTCTACCTGGTCTGATGAATAGAATAGTATTGTAAATATTTTGACAAGATAGTTACAGGATATGAAATGTTTTCTTTGCTGCAACTTTTACTCATTTAATTCTGCATTATATTAATGTAATAATGTATATAGCCATTATAAAAGTTGAACTATTATGGATGATTTTTTTTTTAAAGGAAGCATCTCATGTGTACTAAGTAATGGCTGACTAACTGGATATATTGTAGCTGTCTGCCCACGACAATTGCCACTTTTTGCTATTGGTGAAATATACCCATTCTCATCTGTCTGCTGATAGCGTTTGATGCCTAATTGACCAATGAAAAGATGTTTTTTGCAGTCATCTGTTTAATTTGTATTTATGTTTGTACTAGTTAACATTTGCATTCATGATGGATGTTTCTATGGATTACTTTATGGTGCTAATTTTAACAACTAAACGTTGATAGTTAAAGATAGATAGCTAAATAACATCATTGTTAATTTAATTTAAAGTGAGGTTAGTTTGTATTGTTCTTGACACTGACATATCTTCCTCACAACAATCCACATAAGTCCATTTAAAACATGAAACCATTCATTGGCTGCTGTGTAAAGACAGGTTTCCATTTATGGTTAAGGTGTCTACGTCGTTTTAGGTTTCTGATACTGAAACGTAGTTTGATTCTGAAAAGTAGTTTCTGATAAAAACGTGTTCTTTCACATTGCTAAAGTGATGTCTTTCATCGTGATTAGCAGAATATATGGCCAGCTGTCGCGTGGCTGAATAGTGGGTGAGTTTCTGAGGTAACCTCCGTACTTGATGTACAATATCCATCCGCTGCAGGTGGGACGGTCTCGGTTTTTCCCATGCAGGCATTGTGTTCTCGTGGGAAATGCTCACTGCCGTAGTACCCGGGCCGACGCTGAGGTGTGGCAGATTGATGTGTGACAGCGCTCACTTGCCACTTATCACCAGAGTGACCAGGACGAGGAGGCGAGGCGCCTGCTGCGGCTCAGTGCCGAAAGTGGCGAGGAGGACGGGAAGGGGGCGGTGCTTGGTGACGGTGAAGAGGAGCTGATCGTGGCCGACTACGAAAGTGACGATGACGGCAAACCGAAGAACAGGTGGGGGTCTGGCTGGAATCAAGGCAGCCAGTGGCGTTGTTTGATGTAGCAAACTGTCTCAGCTCACTGCCTATGGCCACTAGAGTCTTCACCTTTCTCTAGAAATTTAACAGACACATTAACGTTGTTTGAAAAGAAGGCCCCCAAACTTTTTTAGTTAATTCTTGCTTTAGTTTAGTTGTTTCATCCGATTTAACTTGCACATTGACAATTTCTATTCCAGTTGAAAGTTAACCATGGGGAAAGAAAATTCTAAAAGCAGCTGTAATTCTATTCACGTAGATGGATTGATTTGAGCTGAAGGAATTGGACTGGAATTTGGGGCCACGATGAGTAAAGAAACTCAGGCTGGTTTAGGTGATTGCATAGCTGAAGCAATTTAGATGTGAAATAGGCCTGGATGCACACAGCCAATGGATTAAGGCTGTAACCCAGTATACCATCATTTAGGGGTGCACTTTATCTTTGAGTTATTAATAGAAATACCCAGCATTACACTTCCTTCATTTCCTTTTAGTATCTTTTTCTTTCTTATGAAAAATCTGTTTTTGATATTTTGTTGTATTTGGTAGCCCCAACATTATGCTATGTTGATGCATGGTGTAAGATGTGTAACTTTAGGGTACTTAATGTACTCACAATGTTAATCTGTTTTGTAGCATTTGTGATGAGGAGGAAGATGATTTGGAGGAAGACCATGTGACTAAGGTTCGTGACTGATTCCTCTAAGACACTTGGTCTTGTTTTGCTTTGTGAGTGTTTAAGCAGCCATATGTCTGGCTGATGGACTCCAAATCCCATGATTCTTTGCAATTAGATATACTACTGCAGCCGCACGCATTCCCAGCTGGCCCAGTTTGTGCACGAGGTGCAGAAGAGCCCTTTCAGAGAAGAAGTCAGGGTGGTGTCCCTGGCCTCTCGGCAGGTGAGCGCAGAGCCTCTGAGAACTTACGGTCTCTCTGCTGGTTCGCAATGTAGTCCACAGTGTAGTTTACAGTGTAGTCTGCAGTGTAGTTTACAGTGTAGTTGGCAGAGTGAAATTAATGTAATGTAGTCCACAAGGCAGCTGAACCATCAAAGAACATGAGCATTGCCTTGACTGAAAGCCAAATCAAAGTGGATGTATTGTGTTACTTGTGACATAACATTTTTCATTTGCGGAAACATTTTCATTGATAGCAACATTTAATAATGGGCAATAAAACCAAAGGTCATTACCAAACTCAGTTGGCAAGTATGGTATAAATCAGAACTGGATTCCCGTTGCACAGGCACTGCAGCCGGCTCCCACCAGGAGGCGCTGATGTGTGTTCGTTTCCCCACAGAACCTGTGCATCAACGAGGAGGTGCGGAGACTGGGCAGCGTGCAACTCATCAACGACCGTTGCATGGAGATGCAGAGGAACAAGCACGGTGAGTCTGACGCCCTCCTGCATGAGCCAGAACCTGACACTGGCCTCTCAGGTTTCCGCCCCATATTGGGTTCCGCACACACCTGGGGAACGTGGCAGGGACATCTGAGATCTCACAGGTCCCGCAAACCCCCAGCCCCAGAGACCCACAGAGCAGTGTTAACGGCTGTGT